AATGGGTACAGCTGATTAGCTTGGTGGGCTTTGTTGACGATGGCCAAAGGAACACGGAAGCTCAACCACTTGAGGTTGCGGACCTCTTTGGACAAGGTGATGATCTCAGGGAGGAAGTTGACTTTAAGCTTGAGCATGTTACCTGTGCGTCCACGAGCACGGGTACTCTCAATCGTGAAGATGCGGCCAGACACACCAAGGTTACGCTGTTGCACCTGATTTACAAAAGAAAAGGAGTGACACATATTTAAAAACAGGAGAACTGTTGACAAACAATGAAAACTGCACCGTAAGAGGCAAAAACTAGAACATTTATTTAACTATTTGAGAAAAATGCAACACTATATTAATGTCTATGATCAGCTTCATACCTTGCGAGCCCAGTCATCAAATATCTCTTGAGTGTTGAGCTTAGCCCTGAAGCTATCTCCATCCTGCTTCAGCTTCAGCCCTTCCACATGGTTCTCCCAGCCTTTTCCCAGAACATCCTCAACTCTCTTCATATACGCTGTCAGCTGACGGTCGATCTGCTTGGCCCAGATGATGGAGCCGGACACAGGCGGCAGGTCTCGGACATGGCTCATCTTACAGGCCTGGCTCTGAGGGTACTGCACTTTGAACTTGTCGTGCAGTGACTCGATGTCATCTTTCACGCGCTGGATGAGCTGCGTCTGGTACTCCCGGATGGCACCGCGGATGTGGGGACGCACAAAGAGAGCGTTGAAGCGGGAGAAGATGCGGAACATCTCGTTAGCGTTCTTGGCGGTTCCAAGCTGATCACGCAGGCGGGCAGTGATTCGGGTCTCAACGCGGTCGATGCGTTCGTCATAACGCTTCATGGCTGCTTCCCAGGCTTCCATGCCTTCCTTAGACACATCCAGACCATCGACCTCTTTGACGTTCTCATAAGCCAGGTTGACCTCCTCGATAGCGTTGGCATCAGCGGCATCAAAGAGAACTCCGGCTACCTTCATATCTTGAGGCTCAACTGTCTCTCCGGGGGCATGTTGTGGCAAGGCAGAAACCTGGGGATAAAAATGTAAAAATAAATCTCAATCAACTGTGGACAAAACCAAATATTATTCTGGACATGAAAGTAAATGAGGGCAAGACATGCTGGTCAGTTCAAGCGTGGCCATTACAGATGCTGACGGTGTTTTACCTGAGGCCTCAGCACACGGACGATGACGGCCCTCAACTGCTCGTGCTGCCTTCTGAAACGTCTCATGTGATCCAGACGTGACTGGAGCTTCCTGTGAGCTGGGCTCAGACGCCACACCATCTTCAGGTTCTCCTCTCTCTTTCTCTTCACAATGTCTCTCAGAAGAACCTGCAGTTTCTCATACTCATCCTCCCAGGTCTGGAACACCTCGAAGCATGCCACCATTACCTGTAGTAGAAGTTAAAGGGACATTTAGAAAGACGTAGAATGTTTTGAGTAGCTTAAGACTGTACTTCTGGGGGGGGGGCTAGATACCCAACCACACCAACCTTTTCAAATTCCTCATAGGCGACATGCATGAGCTTTCTGGTGCCCAACACCTTGAGGAGCTGGGAGCTCAAGTCCCTAGAGATGGCCTCCACTAGACGCAGTGCTCTCTGGATAGGGTACTTGGTGTTCCTGATCTTTTTCAAGTGAGTGAAAATGGCCATCAGGGCCTGGCGGATCTTATCAAGCTCTGAAGCAGAGAGCAGGTCATTGAGAGGGAAGTCCTTCATCAGAGGATTGTAGTCATTGACCGTTTCCACAGCCTGTTTCAGACCTGGAAGAAGCAGAGAAAGGATAAAACAATTAATCACACCATATCAAATTACTGCCAGTAATGAAAAATTGGACTGGATGTCACTCACCAGTGTCAGTATCAAAGCTGACAGTAGCATGGAAACGTTTGCCGTGTTTGAGGATGTCCAGAGTAAGCAGAACCTCGGGGCTCTCTCTCTTCTCCTGGATCCTGTTGAGCGCTCTCTCCAGATTCAGCCAGAAACTGATCTCTTGCAAGGCTGTGCCTGAAGCTGGGTCACGGTCGAGCTTTGTCACCTGATAAAAAGGGCGGGTGGAGGAAAAAAAATAAACCCAGTGGCGAGTTTAAGAGAAAGTATTTTTTGATCTACCTGTCACGACATGAAAATTTGAGACAGAAATATAGGAAAGCCTCTTACCTTTTGGATCTCCCTGATCCAGCGGTTGACTCCAGATTGCAGCTGGTTTAGGAAGGACGGGTCCTCCACTTTGTCGCCAAAGTCAGTGACCTTAGGCTTCTCCCCGCGCTCATAGAACTGCTTGGCGATGTTTGAGATGATTGGGTGGATGAGCAGGCTGATCTCAGGAATCTCAATGTTTTGCTGCAAGTGGAGAAGGCCCATCTCCAGCTCGGCAATCTTTTTCTCCACTGAGGGAGCCATCTTATCCCCATCTCTAGAGAAGGTAGGACAGAGAGGATAGTGCATTACATTATTCCTCCAATGCGGAGTTCATGATCCAGTTTTTTTCTTATTCAAATATAAAGACCCATTTTGAAGATTACCTGTCGGCCTTGCCAGACTCACGGATGTAGGACTTGAAGAAAGGAGCAACAGCATTGCTGATGAAGGAGTGGAGTGTCTCATAGGGAGAATCCTCACTCAAGGTTAGAACTCGAACTTGGGTGGAAATGGGCTTGTCTGCATCAATGACGATTGTCCTCTTGATGAACGCCAAGCTGCAGGGGAGGGGAAGGCCAAGTTATCGGTTAACAGAACTCAAGTGGAAGCTGAGTGCTAATGCAGCAAATCAATTAAAATCACATACAATTATATGGCTGAAAAAGCAGACCTCTGTACAGTGTAGGGCTGCACAATATATACGTTTTATTGTCATCGCATAGTAATTCATACTAATTCAGTGCATTAGATGCATCACTTACCTGTTGGACTTCAACCCATAGTGTATGTCAGTGCTGATGTTATAGGTGATGCATTCCTTCTCCTCTTCTCCTTCATCTCCAACATCCTCTGTGTGAAGAACAAATTAAATCTGAGTCTCATCTGAACAAGTAAACAGAAAACTCATGAAATATTCCTCACTGAAAAAAATCATCCACACTGTAATCAAGTTGATAAGATACATCATTAATATATCATGCACCAAGAAATAAGGCCAACAAAATAACTTTGCTTCTAATGTTAAAAATAAATGATTTGGATGCCAGACAGTAGTCAAGTTTATCAGAGTATAATAAACTACGTAAAATTAGGAGGACAGTGTAATCTGACATGCATCCATCTTTGTTCCCACCCTTCTTTACTAGTGAGGTAGACTGTAGGAAAAGGAAACTGCACCCTCTGCATTGCAGCATCAGTATTCTTGGATAGACTAGGAACCCAAAACCTACAGACGCAGAGGCTGAGCATGTGCAGTATCAAGAGATCAAGGTTTAACACTCATAAAACATGAGGGAGTGCAAAGCGGCTCTGTAGTTTAGGATTAACTCGCCTGGAGGAAAACTGAAGATCCTGTGTTCATTGACACAAGCTGGTTCACATGATTAAAACCCCGAGAAGGTGCGCACATGACTTGCAGTTCTTACAAAAGAGTCATTATCTTTGAATTTTAGATGGTTATGGTGCTTGTTCTTCTTAAGCGGGGCTTGTGTTATTAATAGCACTGTGTCAGTTTTCATTTTAATGTGGTTTATACATAACCTGCATTTCAACATTAACACAAAACGCTAACGTACATTCATTCTACACTACACAAAACTAAAATATGCATTAACTGCAGCTCAACTTAACCAGTATCACACCTTAAAATCATAACGTTAGCTAACATTGACCACTTTCATGCAAGTGTGTTGTCATTGGCTCGGTTGTCGCTTCCCCACCCAGTGTGGCGAAGATAGCACGCTAGCTAAACATTAACTAACATCGTTATCGTTAACGTTACCTTTGAGTGTACTTCTCTCGACCAGGATGGTGTGAACTTGGGGATCCGCCAGAAACTTCCTCATCTGCTCCACGGCGCTCTTCTCCTCCAGGGCGGACTCCAGAGCCGCCGGGGCCTCGCCGCCATCTTCCAGGAGCAGCGGTACCAATTTTCTCATATGCTTCTGCAGCACCGAGGTATCGGCGACCGTCTGAACGGCCGACACCTCCATGGTGCCGGAGTTTTCCTCCGTTCCCCCACCGTCGGACATTGTTTGAAGTGGTCGAAGACGACCGTTAGCGGTGTTAAAGTGAACAAAGAAACGAGGCTCACGTTATGTAGCTAGCAGTGGTGCTGACCGAGTTGGTTCAGACGCTGACTGCTGCTGTCAAAACGCCACACCCGTGGCCGTCAGGTTTATTCGCGCAATGGATTGTGGTACTTGTGGTTCAAGGGTTTGGTATTTCACTGGAATACACACGCCGAATACTACAATACCCACAATGCAGTTGAACAAATCTATTCTTTTCTCATTTTGTTAAATACGGTCTGACAGAGGGAGAAAGGGAGTTACCTCCAATGATGCAGCTATAAATCCTCCACAGTTGAAATTAACAAAGTTATAAGCCTTTACTATTGGTATTACTAATTCAGTGACAAACAGTTATATTTTAAATAAGATAATCACAACTTTTGTCACAATTTGACTAGCATTAACATCAGTGCACTTTTTGCAGATTCCTGCTTTCACAAAAGGATGCATTAGTGTATATATTTATTATGCATTTTATAACATGTTTATTTATTCTACATGTTTTTTAAATAAAGCTAAACATCCACATCCATCAGGTATAAAAGAGTTCCTGTAGCCTGGACTTGAGTCAGCTGAGAAGACAGACCTACAAAGGCCACAAAGCTTGCAGAATATCGTTTGAGTGCTAAAAAACGAAAACTAAAGACCTCTTAAGTCATAATAAAGAAAGTAGATAAGGGATAAAAACTTGCCTTTTTCATAGAATCCAGCATAAATGGCTATAAATGAACATAGCATGGCAATGTTGCCTGTAGAGCCAACATGTCATAATGAGACAGAGAGGAATGGTTTTAATGTTGTTTTATTAAATAAATAACATGAAGTAAAATTTCTGAAACCACAGTACAAGTAAAACATGAGCTTACATAGCCTCACCACCAGATCCCTGAGTTAATATTCCCACATTTTACAGCATTATTTACAAGCTAATAAAACTCACAATCAAGTATACATCATTGCCCAGTATCATATGGCTTATCAAGTATGGCTTTAATGTTATTACTGAGCTTATTTTGTGATGATAAAAAACACAAAATGAAAAGACTCTTCGTACAGTTGTTCCGTTAGCAATCAATGCTGACTTTGCTATGTTTTTGCACTGAGAAGAGCCTGACTTCCTAGATGTTCTTACAATTACATGGACTGATATTGTAAATCATCTTATTTTGCACACAAGGGGGAAACTCCAGTGTCGAAACTTGTCTTGCAAAATAACACCAGGCCATTTCTGCTCCTGAGGATACATCTTCATGTCCACAATAACATGTGTTCATATGGAGTCTAGCTCTATATTCCTCTTTGTGGGAGCACCTTACTATGCTCTCATCATGCCATTGAGCAAAAAGGGGAAAAAAAAAAAAGAAAAAAAAAAAAGTTGTGTCGATAGGGTATATGATCCACCAGAAAACAAAAGTCCATGACCCGGCACTCAGTCTTCCTCAGGAAACTTGAATTTAGCATAGACAATGAGCATGACTACGGACATGAAGACGCACATTGAACCAATCACAAGGTAGGCAATGCCCAGGAAGTCATTCTTGCCACCCATCCAGGACACGTTGCTGAACACCACCTTCTTTCGCCCCTCAAAGCTCAGAACAGGATAGTCTGGAGGACAACATGTTAAGGATACATAGCAAAAATGGAAACACATAAAACAAAAGACATAAAACAGTGATCGTGTGCCAATATGTTCACTAAAGCATTCAATATACAAAACTGCATTAAGATACTGTATTAACCAGCCAGTGGTTTTGCATGTTTTAACCTTTTTACTACTCATGTACACTTGAAAGGATTTATTTCAGGGCATTGGCCTCCATTCATTTCATCAATATATCAAAATCAGATAGCAATTTTATTGAACTGCATCATCTATTTGAGTGGCATTATTTGAAAGACTTATTGCAGTGCAGACTTTTCAAAGCAATCAGTTTTTAAACTGTATCCCCACTCAATGATAATTTAACTCTGACAAAACTGTAAACTGTAGTCCACTGTGATGGATTAAACAACTGAATCAATCAATCTTCTATGAATAGATTTCCAATGTGTACAGAAAACGATGGCTGCCTGAAACAGGAAAAATACACCAAAACAACTAAAACTGATGTATTGTAATGAGAATTTACATGTAGTTAAGGGATTTAAACTTGGAAACACAGGGGTATGGAGCCAAAATAAAAATAAAATGTATTTGCCGTCCTTCTAAAGCCTATGTAAATACTGCAATCAATTCTCAAAGATCATTTGCCTAGCATATTTACTTACGTCGGAGAATTTGCCTGGTATTTTCTGAACACAAGGAACACCCGAGTCATTGTGTTCACTCTGCGCAGGTAAAAACAGAACCACACCCAACCGGTTAAACAAGTTAGCCTAACCTGCTGTTCCTTTATCTTGAGGAAAAAAAAAAAAAAACATGCGGCCGATTCAATGGCTGACCCCTTTCTGTGGATGTGAAGCTTCGTAAATCTTCTCTTATGGATGGACCAGTGTAAAACATAACCAGATGTATATGCTGCTTTAAACAAGTAAAAAGTGTCCACTATTACCAACTTGACAGCTTTCTTGCCAGCAGGCATTTCTTGATTTAACACTTAACACGGCATGATGACTTTCGATTGCTCACTCTGATGGACATATTTACATATAAATGACAATTCTGATGGTACTTTGGCCATTGTCTTGTATTGTAGCTATACAGTGATAATCTATGTGAAGGAAAGAAAAGGTTAAGGTCAGAGTGAAAAATGGCTAGTGCAATCTTTAAACTGAGGACTCGTGCTAAACAAACACAACTGCCCATACCTCAAAGCGCCTTCCTTGAAATCAAAGCAGAATCTATAACGTGTATAAAAGGATACTGTAGGCAATTTCAAGGATGTAGTCTCCAGCTGGCAGACCCTGTTTATAATCACCCTCATCGATTCGTCGATAGAGCTTTCTGAAACCTGGCAGGGCCGCCCTCCTCATCCACACCAGGAAATCTTGATTGATGAAGCCGTTGTTAGCAGCGTCTGAGGTGTCCAACTCGTAAGCAGGTCTGGGCCAAAATAAAGGCTTCACAGTACCTGGAAGTTAAACGTTTAATCAGTTATCATGATTCATCAAACATGAAATTAATGTTATTCAAAATATGAAAGGACCCCATATTTACTGTACTAAACTAAGTTGCTCCTTTCATCCACAATACCTATCCTATTGGCCACCCAATTAGTTTTGAGCAGACTGGGAACCTCTCATTACAAGACAATTATTCTGCATCATATGCACCACAGCACTACTTAAACAGGACAGACAGACAGTTACAGTAAAGTAAGTTACTACCGTTGAATGCGTGCTTCAGAGGTGAGATGCTGGGGTTTCTGTATTTGACGTTGTAGTCTGTCCACCAAGCAATCCCTTTGCCATTGAAGGGCACCTGCTTATTTGACCCATTGACCTTCTGAAACAACTTGAAGGTATCTATTGAAAAAAAGATTTTATACTTCCATAACACTGCAAATAACCTTAATTCAACTTTAATTTTAAATGTCCTTACATACCATTGAACTTGCTGTTTGCTATTGATCCACATGGTACAATTGGTTTTGTTTTGCTGTCTTCATCCTCGTACTCATAGGGTGAGCAGGTGTCACTGGGACTCTTGAAGAGAGACAGAGGACAGTGTTTTCATTGCTCAAATAAATAGTCTGATACTGTTGTCTGTATTACAGATGGGCAAGGGAATTAAGTACCACTAATGCAGCTTTAGGTTCTGTACCAAAATGTATATCTTTTAAGTATTTTTATTCCAATTGAGATCATCTGGATTTTGTTTTCCCCATGGAAGTTAAAACCAGAGACATTTTTTCTTCAATATCCTATGTTGTTAACTCACCTTAAAGTTATCCAGATCTCCAGACAGCTGCTCATCATCTTTGGACACACCGTACCTTCTGTAGTTCTGGAAGTAGTTGGACAAACCATAATAAAAGTACACAGTTCCCTGTGGAGGAAAACAGAATCACAAGCAAGGGTCAGCAGTAGGAGGAAAGTTCAACTTCATTACTATTTGTACGTGTGTGACTGCGTCTGTGCAAAGCTCCAATGTAACCTTAAATAGCTCTTTAGTGGTGAAGTCCAGCTGGCAAGTACAAGGCTTGACATCTGGATCGGAGCACTTGAAGCATGGCGAGTCTGTCTCAACCCCAGTGTAGTCAAACTGTGTAGGAAAGAACAAAAAAGGTTATTATTAATTATTGATGGCTACAACACCTGTCTCCATCGGGTGTTAAGGACACCACACCTCTTTAAACTCAGTATGATTTCGCTTACAAGTGACAAGTCTGTGAGCAGATAGCAGTGTACAGTTGTGCACTGTACACCATGTATTTAATCTCAACACTGAAAACAGAGATTTTTTAATATTTATTTAAGATTAGTTCACTTTAATCCAGTTTACACATGTTGTACTGCATCTCTTCCTCTTTTCTTTTTTGCACAGTCATACCTCCAACACCTGGATGCTCTGTGAGGTGACAAAGAGACCGACGCCAATGCCAATGAATGCCAGGCCGATGAGGACAAATCCTGGGATGACAATGCCAGCTGAGAGCATGGGCTGCCATGCCGGAAGCCTCTGCTGAGTGAAGGCAGTGTTGTCAGGCCGGTTGTCGAACCCCTGCTCTTCCTTCACCATTTTTTTTTGTTCTGTTGGATAGGTTGTTAAAAGTGTTTACTTTTATTGAATTAATGTAGGACGTTGCAGACAACCGCAACACTTAAGACTTTTTTACAACACAGAATAGCCCAGCCCATCCCTAAAAAGGCATCATATCACATACCAAAACCTTGAATCTCAACTACCAACAACACCCAGATTAGCCGAGAGCAAAACATACAGACGTTCTGGTAAAGGGAAATGGTTAAACTGAGGCACAAAAATATGTATTAAAGATTTGGATTTTAGTTACTTACGCACAGTCGGCTGAAAATGGAGAGACGAAGGAGTCAACAAAACGTCGGTATGCTTCCCCGAGTAGCAGGCGCGAAAGAGACGCTCACCTTTACCTGTCCGCCCCCACCTTTACCTGCCCATCCTGTTCTTCTTCCAGCCTGACGTCACTTTGTGTGCAGACGCAAAGCAGAATTCTTTGTCGTTTCTCCACAAACGGAAGATGAATCCCGAACATCAACAGAAGAAAACTCAATTTGTCTTTACTATAAAAATCTTTTATAGTTTACCCGAAAAACAATTATCGGAAACACACTGCATTAATAAGCATAAACAAAAATAAATAGATCCGCTGCAGTAGTTTGGAGTATTAAATCCCTGCCTACTTTTTTTGATTGATAGTTATTTCGACCAATCGTTCCGCAGCGTGGTGTTGCGTAACATTTTCGATCTACCAATCACGAACGAGTTCATTGAAAGGAGACCTGCTACAGTGCCGTCTTTGTGTTGACATTTTAGGAGGACTGAAAGGTGATATTCATATTTTCAATATTCAATGTTTTAAACACCGATCCCGTGTGTAGTAGACTATGCCTAACATTTCGGCCAGTGTATCAATTAATATCTATTTAAAAGCGAGGCCGGAGCTTTATTTTTCTCTCGGTCGCACCTGCTGCTGTGCCACTGTTGGTGCTAGCCAGTTCTCATTGTTAGCGGCGTTAACTAGCATAGCATTGTCTCGTAATATACATTTAAAAGGAAATAAATGTAAAAGCGATCGAATATTTGTTTGCAGTACAGCTTCAGCTGCACTTTTATGACATGAATACAACATCACATTCATCCGCCCTGTTTGCGAGTAACGTTAGCTGTCAAGAACAAAGCTAGTTAGCTGTTAGCTACCGCAAGCTAATGTTGATAGCTACCATTCCGCTGTTAGCTTTGCGCTGAACTTGCTAGCTAACGTTACCATAAGTCAATTTGTCCAGGGTGGCAATCGGGAACTCCTCGCGATCTCGGCACAGTAAAGGTTAATTGCATACCGGCTGTTCTGTTACAATGATTTGAGGAAGTTGGACCTGTTCGTAACCATATTTCTGGTTCTGTCTTCATTTCTTAGTGTTTGAATGGATATTACCAGGTGCCCGGAGAAATGGGTAAAACAAGAAAAGGTTAGGCATGGAGCCCTCATTTTCATAAACTACTTCATTCATGCACAATTAGCTCAACGTTACGTGAATCATTCAGTGATGTAGATGTGACATTATGGTGATTAGACAGTATGGTGGTTGTTAGCCTTTTGTTGCAGGTGCCTTCACTGCCCCCAGCAGAAAAGTGACCAGTTGACATAAGTGTTGTAATCTATTACTTCTACTAGGAGTTTTGTGTTAAAACCACTTGTAAGTGAGTGGCATTAACATTTGGTATGGGTTTTGTAAGTTTTTTTTTTTTTTTTTTATATTCTAACTGTTGTAGACTATTATTTTCAATCAGATTTGGGAATGCCGCAAAGGTCACAAACATTTTTTATTTTTTTATTTTTCAGCACGCACACATCACACATTATTTCCATCTTTTCTTTTAAGAATATTTTGTTATCTTTTTTTCATTGATCACATTATTTTGAACAGGCACATTTCAACCATTTCCCTTGGGCTGTTTGCTTCATTTGGATGGGTTTCATCAAGTTTCTGTCCCCTATTCGTTCAGGAGAGGCCTCCAACATCCTCCATGATGCTGTCTAGCAAGAAGTCAGATGCTGGCTCCTCCTCCTCTACATCTTCTGCGGCAGCAGCGGGAGGCGATAGGGCCCCTGTTTCTGATGCCCAGACTGGTCCATCAGCCTCAGCTGCAGGCCCTCTGGATGTAAAGAAAAAGGAAAGGTCATCCCCTAGTGGGGAACCTGGAGGAGCCCCGTTGCCTCATCAAGCAGGCCCTGGTGGGGCAGAGCAAGACGCAGCTGAAGTCCGCAGAACTAGTCGTCGCAAGCGAGCGAAAGTAAATATTTTAGGGTTGTGAATCCTCTCGCTCAGAGAGGAAAAGAAGCTGCCAAAACTGATATGAGTTTTATCTGATGGTGACATTTCACTGTATTTTAATGAATATTTGTTTTCTTTCAAGGATCAATACAACTTTAGGTTTAATAATGCTCTCTATCTGAAGTCACAGGTTCTCACTTGCATATGTGCACCAGTGGAATTTAGCAACAGAGGTAACGTCTCATAGTCTTTGCAGCGTGATGTTCCTGGTATGTGTTTCTTACCTCCAGAACGGTTTTGGCACTTCTACTGTAAGTTACCTGGGAGCACACCAACAAATTCACTGCAACGCTGGTTTTAATGATGCTTTTATTGTGCCTAATGCTGCAGGTGGAATACCGCGAGATGGACGAAAGCCTGGCTAATCTGTCGGAGGACGAATATTACTCCGAGGAGGAGAGGAACGCCAAGGCAGAGAAAGAGAGGAAGCAGGTCATCCCTCCACCACCTCCACCACCAGAGGAAGAGAACGACAGTGAACCAGAGGAGCCGTCTGGTCAGTCTGAAACTCGATGCATCATATCAAAGCAGTGAGACATGAAACTGATGTTTTGGTTGAGGAAAGAAATTTAAAATGTGTAACAAAAAGGCCGGTCTTTTCTTAAAGGAAGAGTACAGAGATTTTTCTATGCTAACTTGAAGGCTGTGTCTTTTCACAGTCTGATCATTTGCCCCAATTCCATTGTTAATTGCACATGAATGCTCTCTCTGTTTGTTTTAAATTGATCCTAAGTCACACTCAATGCTATTAATAGAATATGTGTGTTCATTTTTAGGTGTGGAAGGAGCTGCTTTCCAGAGCCGTCTTCCTCATGACCGTATGACATCACAGGAGGCCGCCTGCTTCCCTGACATCATCAGCGGTCCCCAGCAGACTCAGAAGGTCTTCCTCTTCATCCGCAACCGCACGGTAAGTGCCAGCGTAGACACATTACTTTGTATTACAAAACGATGGACTTTCGGGATCATTGTTTTAAACGTGTGTAGTACTGTATCTTAATTCATATTAACCTCATACAGCTCCAACTTTGGCTGGACAACCCTAAAATCCAGTTGACATTTGAGGCCACAGCACAGCAGCTTGAAGCTCCATATAACAGTGAGACATTCAATTAAACATGATTTTTCTTTTCTTTTTTTACAAGAAGATTGTAGTTGTGCAGATGTTGAGATTGTATGTGCTCTTTTTCTCTCTTTAGGTGATGCTGTGCTGGTTCACCGAATACACAGCTACTTAGAGAGGCACGGGCTCATTAACTTTGGCATTTACAAGAGGGTCAAGCCTTTACCAAGTAAGTTCACTTCATTCATTGCTCTGGTGAAGTAACACTACCCATCTGGTATAATTTATGTATTCTTCAAGCCACTTTGGATTGAAGATAAAAATGTCTTTGATTTACATCCCAAGAAAACAAATCTGGTTTAAAGAAGTGATTGTCTGAGGATATTTACCAGCTACTCCGGCTTGTGGACAAAATCCGACACTGACCTGGTAGTGTAAGGATACCTAGTTAATGTGCTCCCTGTTTGTTGTTGCAGCTAAGAAGACCGGAAAGGTTATCGTCATTGGTGGAGGTGTGTCTGGTCTAGCTGCAGCCAGGCAGCTGCAAAGCTTCGGCATGGATGTTACAGTATTGGAGGCCAGGGTAGGTCATCTGTTATTTCAGCCACATTTCTCTCAACCAGCTATTGGTATAAACATTTTATGACTATAAACCATTTGCTGTATTTTTTAATTTTTTTTTACAATCGATAGCATTTTGAGAATAGTCCACTTTATATACACTATACAATACAGATGTTTCTAAGGGTTCAGATGATAACCGATCGAGGGACCTAAACTTACTTTGTTTTTTCCATGCAGGACCGTGTTGGAGGCAGAGTGGCCACATTTAGGAAGGGCAACTATGTCGCTGATCTGGGAGCCATGGTGGTGACAGGGCTGGGTAAGTCAATACGGAAGTCAAAGCATCCTATAAACCTTTAGTGTCTAACCATGACACATCATCATCGGCCTAGATTTGAGGCTTGAGTTGCTTTTGACAAAGTCAAAAAAAAGTTCTCATAGAAATTCTAAAAGTTACTGAAAATGACCTGTAGAGGGTGTTATTGTCCACATTTGTGCTGTGTCATTGTCAAGTGTGTGTGTGTGTGTGTGTGTGTGTGTGTGTGTGTGTGTG